ATTATGAAGCATGATTTTCAGTTCGTACAAACTCAACAAGAACTCCTTGTAACAATTGCCGAATGTTAATTCACTTCACCACAACAGTGACGCACAATTTTTATCGAAAAGATGAAACTAAACCATTGTTGAAAGCATTAGAGATTTAAGTGCTTACCCCATATAGTTTTTCAGCTAATGAAAGCAATACCTTGTTTAATCTGAGAAATGGGATTTTTATACCTGCAGAACAAACTCTGAGCATGCATGAATGATTCTGGTTTCTACCTAATTGACGAGCGAACTAGAAGATATTCTATCCCTTATAATTTGCAACTTTAGAAGACGGTTAAGAAATTGGAAGAAACACTCGACCAAATTCATCAGTTCCATTTTACCGTTAACACTAATTGAAAAGTTTTAGACTGCAAATGCTTTTGAATATGACGAAACATTCAGATAAAAAAGTAATATCGTTTTTGGTTGGCAATATAAAGTTATTTTTTATAGTGAAGTCAGTTAAACTGAGCCATCTTGACATTGTTTATTTAATTATAATCAAAATTGACTACGTTTCTAAGGAAATTAAAAAAGATATCAAAGAACCTGTAGCCGCATTTGAATTCTAATTGCAACTTTTATACTCTTACGTGTGGAAAATGAAAATGGGGTTGTTAAATCAAGCAAGACTTAACACTAGTAGCAAGGAAACATGAAAATTGGAGGCAATCATTTTGTTCAGGGGGAGAATAGACGTATACGTTTATGCTTGACGAGATACAGGGATGGGATAAAAAACTATCCTTTATTCCACTTACTTGCGCGCAAAAACAACACATCATCAGCGGATATGCGCTAGGACGCCTTCATTGAAAGTTTCTTTTCATTCCATTTCAGCCTTATAACTTAGAAAAACATAAAAATAGATTAATCAAAAAACGGCGGAAGTGAAAACATAATAAAAAACAGTACAATCCAATTATCTTTTATTGGCATTGGCGTCCTTTTTCTCAACTGACAAACATCCAAAATTAGATTTATCTTTTTTTGGCCAATTTCTTTGGCATCAAAAATGCGTGGGTTTGAAAGCTTCATTAAAAATTCATTTCTGAATTCGGATTCACTTTTTCACCCAATTTTGCTTTCATTTTCAGTTTTTATATTCTTTGCAGATTAAAGAAGTCTTAAGCTGGATAAGAGCTTCAAAAGCTTCAATTTAAGCTAAACTATTCAGACGAAGTGACGTATTTGTATGACGTCTTTGCTCTTCAACTAATGCAGTACAAATTGAGTGAAAAAAATCTACATTTTCTTTTAGAAGCTTCACTTCTGACTAATATGACACAGCTATAAATCAGAAAGTCTGCAATTCAAACATCTCAAAAAAATCAAATGTTTACTGTGCAATTAGCACGGAAAAGGACCTCAACGTTTTATGCGAAAAAGAAATTCTGCCGTTTTTTAGTGGCACAAATGACTTGCAATGAACTCAGAATTACAAACCAAGTGAAATCAGAAGTTGGCAAGACTTGCGGTAAAACACAAACCTAGCATTGCAAACTCGCGGAAAGAAAACCAGACGAAAGACACTAAGTCGAAAGTTGTTTTTTTTTAATCTACAAAACTTCATTCGTTTGACTCGACTTATGTTTAACTAGGGGAAAACACGTCAATAAATACAATCAATAGCGTTACACAAGCATTTAAATGCATAAACTGAGCGGCACATAAGCCGAAAATACTTGATTGGACGCCCGTTGGGCACAAAACAAAACTTATCAAACTGTTTGAACTATATAGTTTTAAAACTCGAAGCGCACCTATATTGAAACACACGAATCTACCAAATCTGTTTGCCCTCAAACAAAATAACGTAACTAAGCCGACATAGCACGATCCGAAACCATTTAAGTTATTTAAAAAATTCAGCGGAAAATATAAAATCAGAGTTCGCAGATTTACAATTTGCATGACAATTTAAATTTAATTAAAATTGCTTAAATAAAAAGAAAAGACCATTCTTTAGGAAGTACACCGGCAAAAACAAAAAGACAAACGATAGTTCGACAATTCGACAAACGATAGTTCGATAGCTTCGCACCATTTGGGATACCACAAAAATTAGCATTGCAAGCTAGCAGACAGGAAAGGAAAGGAAGCAATTAAGTACAAAGACAAAACTTTCGAAGAAACCACAACTTAAAAACTTCAAAACATTGTCTGAAATGATGCTCTATTTGAGGAAAACACGTCAGAATTACATTCGACGGCGTTTAATGAAAAATCAAAAACAATTTTTGAGCGAAAATAAAAATGGTGTCATAAAAAACTTTGAACTATAATTTCTATTCTGTGCAATTCGGAGGAAAGCATAAAAATTATGGTTCCCTTGAGCGGCCCAAAATTAGGTGAGTGAGCCGATAAATTATAAACCGAAATCATTTAGGCCGAAAAATAGTTTGAGCGAAAAACAATAATAAAAGCAAAATCTACGAAGTCAAGACTAGCAGAATTACAAAGTGCAGAAGTAAATGAAAGCATAAAAAACAACTACAATAAAAACTGCATGCAGCAAAAAAATTCCAAGATGTGGCAGCTAAGCCGACAAAACATCAGCAGACAAATAATAAGCCGACAATTTTTTTGAAACAGAATTTCCCGTTTCAAAAAAAAAAAACAGGTACTGGTCAGATTCGAACCCAGGACCTTTGCCGTCCCAGGCGGTTTCGTTGCCTCCAGACAAAGTGTGCCGCAGACGCTTGGAAACTGGAATTCATCGTGAAACAAGATACCAAATGATTTAAGTGACTCAGTTAAACAAGTTGTTAACCTAAAAAAAGTCTATATTCCGATTTGATAACGCTTGCTAACCGTAAGCGTAAACAATCAAGATATAGCCGGGAATCCCCATCGTTGAGATCCCAAGGCACGCGCTTTACCACTAAACCAAATAAGAAGGGACGTGGAAGTTATTGAAATTTCATTTAAAAAAACAAGGCCAAGTTCTTACCCACTTGAAATTATTTACTGGCAAAACATCTTTGTAAAAAAGTCTAAGAAAAAAAGAAAGAAAAAAAGGAAGAAAAAGCCAACGAACGAAAAGTTTAAATGATTCATCTGAGAAATTATCATTTAATTTGAACAATCACAGAAACAATAGAAAAAATTTTAAAAAGACTGAAAAAGGACATGCAACGGAAATATATGGATCTACTCAACGCTTTATTCTGAGGCAGAACTTCAAATGTTCTGGAATCCAGGATGTAAAATAATAAGCGTGTGAAAGGGTTCGAATTTCAGAGATTTCCTTAAACAAACTAAACTAACAAACAATCAAGTCACCAAATGTTTTCTTTTCTCCCTCTTTCTCTCTTGTCCAACCACCCAGTTCTCCATTTTGCACTGCGCGTTCTTTTTCAATCCTTTCCAGGGGGGCAGTACAACAGTGCCGAAGTACAACAGTGCCGAAAATGAAAACTTTGTTGAACAGTGCCGAAAATGAAAACTTTGTTCAACAGTGCCGAAAATTTGAATAAATTTCATCATATTAAGTGCGGCAATCAAAAATTAAACAGCGATCGTTTTCAATCTTAAGTAAAACTTTTAGATTTTGAGCAAGAAAATTTGCAACTTAGACGTTTTGGCGCCAAAATAATTGTTTAATTTGCAATTGCAGACATATTGGCGCCAAAATTGGAGTGATTTTCTTTGATAATTAGCGTCAGTAATTTCCCGCTCTTTAGAAAATGCGTGTAAATTATTCTGAAATTTTGCGCCTTTTTCGGCACTGTTGTACTTCGGCACTGTTGAACGCCCCCTTTCCAGGTTTACCTTTCCCCCGATGGATCTGTGCATATTATTTTTAATTACAAGACCTTTTCGGTAATCAAATCCATTACTTTTGGTCGGAATTGCCACGTGTTATCGGTAGTGCCACGTGCTTAAAAGAGACTGTTAACCCCGTATTGCTTATTGTTAAGAATTGATCAAACTAGGAAATATTATATTAAAATTTGTTATTTGTGTTATTTTTGAGCTATCGCGCAAAATGGGCAAAACTTCAATTCAGTGAAGCGGATTGTACTATTTTCTACGTTGATAATTCACTTATCTTTTCTCGAATAATCTTTGGGCACATTCTTCCATTGATGACATATACATTGTTTGGAAAGAAGGCTTTGAATTTAAATCCCTGTTTCTGGGTTCCAATAACTCTTCAAGCATGGCGTAGTAGCCATTTCTACCATTCCACGCTTGCTTAAGCCACCACCGCATACGCCAGACGACATCTCAATCCGCGTGGCAGATAAACTTGACTGTAATAGGCACAATTGGTTCCAGTCTCAAGGGGTCACAGACAGAGGAAATTGATGGATTAAGGCTCATCTGCAGATACATTGCCACGAGGTATTGGTCAAATGTGTGCTCTACAGCGAACGCCGACATGATGTCAGCGGGATTGTTAGCATTTGCCATCTTTGAAACTAGTTAATAAATTTATCACAACAATTAAGCTAACAAGTTTTGCTAATTAGAACTTCCTTCAAATTTGAAAAATATCAACCCTATAATATAAAAAGTTTGCAATGAAAAGCAAAAAACGCTTTTTTAGTGTGCATCAAAGAGTAAAAAGGATGGAAGAAGGCAGGAAAAAAATATTTAAAATTTTAAAAAACAAACGCCAGAGAACCGAACCTCAGTCCTCGAACATCCAAGAACAGTAGCCAGTGGATAAGACATGCTATTAAACTGACAACACTGTGCAACAAAGATGCCATTAAATGGGCACTTTTATTTGCCAGTTGGGTTGGAAAAAAGTGGACTTAGTAATGAAACAAAGCTCGCATGTAAAATCATTAGTTCAGCAATGTGCTCAAGATTCAATTTATTCATCCGTTACCAAACGTATCACTTTCAATGTCTAGTCTCAGCAGAAAATCACTCTTATTTACAGCTCATTGCGACATTTATCTCAATGGTCGATCGGTATTGTTTAGACAGTCAGTATCAAAAAACGCCAGTTCTATAATTTCTTCAATTAGTTTTCTGGTAGTAAAATATTTAGAGTGTAACCATTACGAGGCAATAATGACATGTTTAGTGTGTTTGTTCAATCTAGAAGTTTTTCGAACTTTCTCGGACATTCTAGAAAGTTCTTTTCACTTAAGCTCTTGTTCCGCTTCTTCTAGCTCCTCTATGTCTTCTTTGCTTCTGTCAATGATAGACTGGAGTCTCTTGATCTCCATCTGGGCATCTTGGATGTGGTCCTTGTGGAGTGACTTAAGTTTCTTCAGTTGTTCTTGTTGTACTTTTCTATAGTAGCTGTCTTCATTCACAGCTCCCTTCTTAGACATGGCCCCACCGGCATCTCTAAATGATTTTAAAAAACTTATTAATTAGCTTTTCCTTGTGGTACGGAAAAATCGAACGGAAACAAACACACCCTACGGCATCGCTCCTTCTCACTTCGTTGAGGGGGGTTGGTTTGTCTTCCTTTTAACAAAGGAAATGATGTGAACTTAAAAAGAAATCAAAAGTCAAACCGCGAAAAAATAACTTTGAGCCTGAACAAATTTTAAGACTTTTCCAGCTAAAAAAAACGAAAAAAATCATCATGACCTATATAAATACGAAACTACGTTCATCGACTCGTATTAACATTTTTTTTAAAACCGAGCGAATTATCGGAAACCAAAACCGTTCAAATTGAATTCGGATTAAAAATTTAATGCTGTATCGACTTTTGTTTCTCGGACAATTGTGCCGCGGACAAATATGTTCGAAAAACTGATAATATCCTAAACATTTTCTGACGTAACTAGCAGAATTATACTCGAATTAGAGAATATCTTAACTGCTCATAGATCAAATTTTCAACTATTTATCTTAATTTGACTCACTATATTGAATTTAAATATCAATTTTGCGCACAAGTTTTTTGAAATTGTCATTTTGAGGGCTCATATTGAAGTTTCGCATCGACATCGAAACCGATCAGCGCAGTTTCTGCAAAAATGCAGTTATTATAAAATTTGGGAAGCAAGTGAAGAAACGCTTCATGAGTAAATTTACTTGATGGCTCCCGAGTCGTTGATAGCAACTACAGATGTCACATGGATGGTTCTCCTGGTCAAGGCGGCAACACCAACCGACACACCTCTGAAACTAGCTGAACCACAGACCTGTCTCAACATTTCAATTCTGAAGAGAAATTGTTTTAAGTTGAACGGTTAAATAAAAAAAATAAATCAGTCTTTGAGCGAAATAAACCATTTGCAGTAAAAGTAGCACAGATCGTTCCTTCCGTCCATCAACTTATTGTCTCTTGTACATACACTATATTTTTCTTTCTTTGAACAAGTATATCAACATTTCACTTTTGAACGATTCGATTAAAACTCGTAAAACACTAACAACTGGCAGGCCAATTAGTCCTCCAAATTCATCCGCGTTAGCATCTCAATAAGCAAGGCATTATAAAGGGTTTCCGACGGAGTTAACAAATTTATACACAATCAGATGAAAAGATAAAAGACAGGTACACTGAACAATATCGTATTAAGGGGGGGGGGGCGGACTCCCCTTTCTTCAGATATTTGACCCTGACCACCCAAATGGTCCTATAGAACTATTTTAGGCATCCATTTTCGGCCGACAGACCCTAAAACTTTTCTAGGCGTCAATTTTTACTAAACTTGAGTGGTAGCCCGCACCGAAAAAACGCGATTTTTTGGTCATAACTTCCAACAAAATTCCATTAAACGTCGTTTGGCCCGTTTTTTCGAAAATTAAAAATTTCGGAAATTTTGGCTTGGTTTTTGAGAAAATCTCGGATTTGCCCCTGATACTACATGCTGAATTTTATTTTTGCTAGTCATTAAAAATGCGCGAAGAAGTACATACGCCATAGTTAATTCCCACTCCGAGAAGCGTAACAAAATTACATTAATATTATTAACTGGACAAAAACAATGCTTGCTGAGTTACTTTCCCCTTTTGCAATGTTTTTTTTAAAATTAATTTAAAAATCATATTTGTACTTTCCATGATTCCATATTTCAATCCTTTTTCAGATTTCGATTGATTTGGAAACGCTCTCAACTTTCTCGAAACTGAGAGGACCATTAATGAAGTCTTCAATAGGATGTCTGGAGCGCAGGAAATGAGAATGTTAGAGACCTAATTATTTCCTGCTTCAAATATCTGTCCTCAAGCAAAACGTAAGGAGTATAATTAAAATATATATTAACCATTTATTTCTCTAGAAAACGCATCAAAGACGCAGCATTGGTGGAATTGAATAATACTAAACAGCAGTGGTACAAATTTGACACTTATAAGCAGCAGAGAACATAAGTAAACACTAGTAGCTATTATTACGCAGCTATCAACATACTAACTCGACTGGTTAGGTTGATAAAATTGATGATCTATTGCAAACTATTATCACAAAAAAAATCAGCAAAAAGGTCAAAAACCAGAATTGAAATATTTTCGGAAACTATTTGCATATATTTTCGGAAACTATTTTTTCATATTTTCGGAAATTAAAAGAGCTAGTAGCTTCAAGGTGATAACTGATTGCAGTCAAATGCGCCATTCCTCAACTTCTGATTTCTACGCCTGCATCTATAAATCATCAAAGCACAATTTTTATCGTCAACTTATCACTATTTTTTCATCTGAGAAGGATGAAAGAAATTACGTTTTCTAATATAGAAGTTTTTTTTTATTATTTGTAGCATGAAATATGGTAACGAACGACGCATGGTATAAGTCAAATTTTAATAATCATTTACTTCGATCGACATTCTAGCCAAAACATCTAATCAAAGCCAGCAGCCAATTAATACTTGTTATACTAAATCATATCCACTTCAAATCTCCAATTCATTTTTTTCAAATTTTTTGACACAATCAACAATTTGACACATTCGAATTGGAAAAGCACCAGTAATCTGTATGCAAATTAGTAACATCTTCCTTGTCCATTAACTGCTCTCGGATACTCAGATTGACTGAATAAAATATATTCACCTGTAGTTGAGTCAACACCAAATTGCAAAACAGCACATGCGTACAAAAATTTCACCCTCGGCCCAACATGAAAACAATATTTCTATTCAACTAACTACATGCAACTTAGTGAATGAAAGGTTAAATTGAAATATATTGCACAAAAAAGCAACGTCATCTATACACAATGAAAATCAAATATTTACAAATTAAACTAAAAAGACAAATTGATTGAACGCACTAAAGTCTAACATAGTACTTCCACGGTCAATAAATGAGTTTGCTAACGGAAATTACACTGCATAAAATTTCGAACTCGATTTTTCTCCTTTTTTCAAGCAGAACTTGGACTGAAATATACAAAATTAACACCATGTTAAGTCGAAATTGCTCTACTAATGACTGATAAATTAAATTTGTAAAATAAACTTACCCATAATTGTCAATTTGATAGAAAAAGCGCCGACTGTTACGATAGAATTTATATTCTTCATTCAATAAATAATCTTATTTAATAAACAATTTTGAAAGTCATTTCTAAACTAACTTTACTTCAAATTTAGAAGCAAAAAGATAAATTAAGTAGCTTGTTATTTTAGACAATAAATTTAAAGTAGTGAATGAATGTAGAGAGTGACGTAATCCCCAACCATTGCGTAATAGTTTTTACATAACCTGCTGACTGGTGAACTCTTCCGTTTCCGAGTCAGTCAATCGGTCTGCCTCACGATCCGAGTCGACACTCGGCAGCCGATGGAACCCCCTTTTGCCTCCCCCTAACATGCCTGTAACTCCATTGACCAACCCATTACTGCTTCCACTTCCCCCCGCTCCATTCGAGTGCTTCTTCTTTTTATCACTCAGAGTCGCTTTGTCGTAACCCTTCTTTGATGACCACGAGACGAACTTCCTGTGATCGGACATGGGATGACTTTTGGCCCTTGACCTCGAAACTATCGTCGCAGTGACTACAATAGTCAGTGGAATCGCAATCAACAGCAAAATCGCCAACGACGAGTAGAAGCTGTCGTCAAACTTCCCGCCGAAACCTTTTCCACTCCCATCTCCGACCAGTTTCGAGGACTTTCCTTGGGATACCCCGCGTGCGAGGAATGATTTCTCCATTTGAATGAACTTGTACAGTTTTCGTTCGCTCCTGTCACAAACATAGACGTATTGGTTCTCAGGTGATGCCACAATGTCGTGAGTCATAGACACAAAGCCTGTCTCTTTTCCCGGCGAGAAGGACTGCATGGCTTGCTCAGTAGTGATATCCACGGAAAATGCTTGCGTCTAAAAAAATCGCCAAATTTTTACAATCATGGAGCCAAATCGACGACCACCTATCATTATAAGGTTTACAGCCAACTCAATTTTTTCAAAACATTGCTTAGAGACCGTTGGAAAAATATCAACGAAATCATGAAAATCGGAAAAACGACTGAATATTTTCGAACCATTTTCCAAGAAACTAATTATGGTTATAGTACTCTTCGATTTTTCAACAAGTTTTTGGATTGACATCTTTAGATAGAAACAAAACCAATTTGAGAAAAGTGGGTCAATAGGCAATTTTTTTATTCACTTCGCTAATGGACACTTAATAACTTTACTTTAAAAACGTGAGCTCTTTTGAACTATTCCAGTTATTACTAAAATAGGGATTAGCCGCACAGAGATCCCGATGACCCGTTCATTCAATTGAACTCAATGTCAGATTTGGCGGGTAATTTTCAACAGACTTTTCCTCAGATCTTACCGGCTTTTCTACATAAAAAAGTGTGTAACCATTCATACAGGGAATATCTTTGCAACATGTTCTTTCAGTTTAACCATTAACCTCAGTGAGCGGCAGTTTATGAGAAAGAAAAAAAAAAGATTCTAAAACCATTGAAATCTCATTATTTTGACTTTTCATTAGTTCATAAGGTTTACTAAAAAATTTCCTAAGATCTTACCGGCTTTCAGCAACAAAAGTTTGTAACCTTTTATAAAGAGAAGATCTTGGCACCATGTTTTTTCAGTTTAACCATTAAACTCAGAGGGTGGCAGTTTATGAAGAGAAAAAAAATACAAAAAGATGGAAATCTCACAGCCATGAACCCATAGCCACGTAGTTATTTATACATGGAAAATTGTTAATTCTGTTTTTTCGATTAAACTCCAAATCTCCAACTTGGCAGGGAAATTTTCGAGAAAAGTGAAACAAATTTGCAAAAACATTTTCAACTTCAATATTGGACTATTCCCAAAATCAAAATAAATTTCCTGCAAAAAATAGGAAGTCGCAGCTTATGCAGGGAACTCCCGCGATCTATTTTTTGATTGGATCCTTAATCTCAGATTTGGCAGTGTAGTTGTTCAGAAAAGTCAAAGAAGAAGAATTCAAAAATTTGACTCTTCCTGATAAGACGAATATTTTTTTTACAAACAAGCGTAGTTACTTATGCAGAGACAATTCCTACAATCGGGTTTCTCGATTAAACTTATAACGTAAGAATTAGCGGGGCATTTTTCGAGACAAAGAGGCGAAGCCGAGCTTCGCACCAATTGTGATACAACACTAACATGAAATAAAAACTAATCATTCTAACTTTCATCTCTCGTAGAAGTTCATTCCAGGCACACATGTCAGGCACTTGAATTTTAAATCAAACGAAACAAAAAGAAACAAAGCCGACAATCTTTGCGCAGACAGTTGAGCCGAAAAAAAACGACTTTATAAAAAAAGTTTAAGTCCCACCTTCAACAACAAGTACCCCTTGAAACTAATGAACAGCACTTGCACTTGAAATTACAATAAAAACTGTCTGCAGCACAAGCAAAATCTGTTGTGGCAATTTGAAATTGAGTAGACACGAAAAACCAACAATTCGTTTTCTCGGATTTTTTTTTCAATTTCCTTGATACTGCAAAAAACAAGATCCGGCCACGACTCGAACCCCAAACCATAGGCTACAAAGGTAGGTCCTTTACCTCACGGCCAAGAAGGAAGCAATCTGCAACCTTTTAAGCGAAGCTAAGAAGAGAATAAGGTGAAAATAAGTGATTCAACTGATTTTGTAAACTAGTTGTTAACCCGAAAAAAGTCTATATTGCAGTTTGATAACGCTTGCTTATCACAAGCGTAAAAAGTCAAAAACTTTCCAAAAAGTGATCAACATTTCAAGACTAGGCTTTTCCGAAGGCCGCATCTTTTTTAAAAAAAAAAACTAGGGCGTAGCCGCTTGTACTTGGGTACTGTTGTTTCGATTTAACTCTTGATATCAGATCTGATAGTTTCAAAAAGCAATCTAAAATTCAAAAATTTGCCTTTTTAAAAGCTTTATATTTTTTTCTGAAAAAAGCAGGGCGTAGCCGCTTACGCCTGGAGAATTCTCACAACCTGTTCTCTCGATTGAATTTTCTACTCACATTTGGGAGTGTAGTTTTCCAGAAAATTTGAGAAATTTCTAAAAAAAAGGTCAAAAAATCAAAAATTTGATGCTTTCTAAGGCAATAGATTTGTGTGAAAAGTTTTTTTAAAAAATTGGCTTAGCCTTAGCTGCTTATGCAATGGAGCTACCCACCACTTCTTTCATTTTGAACCCATAATCTGAGCTTTGGCCGGGTAATTTTCGAGAAAACCCAAGAAGTCCAACAAATAGGTCAAACAATTATTCCATCGAAATTTCAGAAAAAGTTGAGAAAAGAACAGAGGAGTATGAGGTCAAAAAAAGCGCTAGCTGTTCTTTGTATTGGCCCCATAGTTTGGCAAAATCAGCATAAATGTTTTCAAAAAAATACTTAAAAAATTTCGAAAAAAAAAATATAGCCAACAGACAATTTGGAAGAGAGTCCTGAACGCAAGGAAACAGAAAAAAAATGGCAAAAATATACATGGCCCGACGGCTCTTTGAACTTCAAAAACAATTTATGATTAAAACTTTTTTGATAAAATGAACGCAATTTGAGAAAACTGGATTGATAAGATATAAGTTTTATTCCACTAGGAAATGTGCAAAATAAAATCCATCATCGAACCTAAATTTCGATCATACTTTTCCTGAATTTTACACTTGCTGCTTGATAGTAGAATTTGCATGCCTTTTAGCATAGGAAAGTATTCCAACTTAAAAAAATTAACCGCGAAAAATAAAATTTTAGTGTGAATAAATTTCAAGCCTTGCTGAACAAAAAAAAATCACCAAGACCTATATAGGAGTATTCGCTACGTTCATGATTCTTAAGAAAAATAAAACTAAACCAATTTCATTTTCATAGTATCTGTTTTTGTTAAACAGAAATATGCGGATATTGGTCCAAGTAACACATTTCCCTTTTCGTTCAATGCGGATGTTCAATAGTTATAGAAATCCAGTATTTTTCGAAGAGTTTGGAAAAGGTAAAAATATCTATTGGGACGACTATCTCGAAAAAATTCTTTGAAAAAAAACATAGTATTGGTTCTCTTAGTCATCAACAAATCATTTGTTAAATCCTCAGCCACTCTTTACCTTGATATTGGGAGATGATGGAGCGGCGAGGATGTAGAAGAGACTGCCTGCCTCGCTGTAGATGACAGCTGACAAGTGAGTTCCGAACACGGACGGAGAGTGTATCACTCGGGTGCTCTCCCCCGAGTCCATGTTGAAGCAGTGCACTAGTCCATGGGAGTAGCTGGCAGCACACACTAGCGAGAGGGAGTCTGCTACTGTGATACTACTTGCCTCCACGTTGTCATTGATGCCTAGATTGAAAGCTGGATGTTCACGATTTCTTAAAATCAGTAGCTTATACGCGTCAAATACTTCCGTTACGGTAAATACATTCGACACTACTGAGAGAAATGCAAGTGCCACAAAAACCATAAAATCAGCCTTTCTAAGTTTACTTCAAAAATGCAAACTTTTTGTTGTGATGTCTCAAAAAATAAACAGGCACTCGTATTGATAGAACCAGAGCCGGATCTAGGATTTTCTCAATCGGATTTTCTCGACTTTTGAGAAAAACAGGTCAAAAAAGGCGTTCGAAAAAAGGCGAAAGGTCAAGAAAATTTAGGGTCGACCAGCCAACAACGTATGTCTTGAAATAGTACCACAGGGCGGACCCTTTGGTTCGTTAGGTGGTCGAATTTCTGAGGGAGAAGGGCGTCCCCCCTCCTAAATCAGCGACTGGATACCTGTAAATTTCGTTTTGATTTAACAATAGGTAAAGCAACTCTTTCAAAAAATAATATACCAACCAGTGTGTTCTTCGTCATTGAGACTAAACTGCTCTTTGAACTTCCCATTGCTGTCCAACTTTACCACCCTCGAATTGCAGTACCCGTCGGCCACAAAGATGAATCCCCTCTTAGTGGACACTGCCACATCTGTCGGCTGACAGAAGTGAGAGGCGTCCGATCCAGGCTCTCTAGGGGTGCCTATGAACTGCATGGGTTGACGCAGGTTGATCAATGAGAACTGAAACCACATTAACATCATCTTCGTTAAATTCAAACAATTATAGGCAAGCAACGCATTGAAAGCTTTCTGTTGGCTTCAATAGACTTCATACTTTCATATAATTAGAAAAAAAGTACTTTGTACTAACTTCTCTACTTCACATTAGATAGCTAGGAAGTTTATAGAAATGTCAGACAAAAAAAGCTCTTTTCAGCTAATGCACTCAAAATTTTCAGACCAAAACTTTAGAATAATTTACCTATGAAGCGTAAAAAGGACCAATTAGAAGAACATTTTAAGTGACCTTTTCTATTTATAGCTGAAACTAGCAATTAAATTGAAAATGAGGTTTTAATGCTTTTGCATTTAAATCTAGAGGCATGGAAAAATAGGCGACCATTAACAGCGACTTAATTAGGGCAATTAAAATAGATCTCATGACTAAATGATAGCGACGAGGAAAATAATTATGACCTTCACAACTTGATGCTTTGCAATGTCGGTCACATAAATATAGTCCTCATGATCCACGTACAGTCCATGCGGCAACACTAACAGTCCACCTCCAAACTTATTCAACACTACCCCACTCGCAGAATCCAACATCACCACCACGTCCTCTTTAATGGTCTGGCGTCTCCCCTGGAAGAAGTTGTAATCGTCAAAGGAATCAGCAGTGTGGCTTCTATCTGCTCTATGGACAAACAAAACGGTTCCGTTCTTCAACGTTGCAACTCCTGTGATTTCGCCGTAGTCTTCCGGATTGTAGGCGCCTTCGACGTTTGCGGGCCAGTGGTTGTCAAATATGACGCCTTTGATCTCTTTTGCAGCTGAGGCGTCGGGAGTGTCGATGTGTGAGATGATTTTGTTGTCGTTCCGGTCACTATCTTTCTCGTCACCCAACTGGAGACCTGATACATAATTTCGAACAATTTTTCTCCATAGCGTATACTAACATCCTATATTTTGAGCAATCAATAATTCCCCTCTTCAAATTTTCCCCTCTTCATGGAAAAATCTTCAAAGGCCAATTTTATCAAAATTTATCACATAAAACACACGGTACTTGTAAAATGATACTAAAAAATGTGGCGGCATTTTCCGTTGAACCTATTTTTTGTGGAAAAAAATTATCATTTCCAGCATCAATAAATTCTCATTTCCTATTTCTCACCTGCATCTTTATCAACGTGTCCGACTTTCTGCAGCTCTTCCTTCTGATTCTGAATCAACTTCTCAAACCTCAGAACATCCTTCGAATAGGAGTTCTCCACCAATATGTTCGTCTTCTCCGCTATCAGCTGGTTGTAGTCTCGAGGAATGGACGAGAATAGGTTTGGGTGGCCTGGTTGGGTGCATAGAAGGAAAGTGTTCTTGTTCTCGACCAGGGTGAAAAATAGGAATGTCAGCGAACACTGGCTTTCGTCTCTGAAAATTTAAAACAAAATAGCAAAAACCTAGTTTCACAACTGATTGATAGCTCTTAAGAAAAACGAAAAAAAAAATCGTTAGAAAAATAAGTGCTGCGAATTGATTTAAGGTAAGTTTCTTCTGTTGATGGTGTTGACTTAGCGCACATATTATTTATTAAGCTATACTGTACTGCTCATGTCAAATAAGCAAGGATGACTCAAACAATTGTCCAATTGAGTTGACAACAATACCATGTGAAAAACGAGCACCTATAAAACCTTACCGAGTGTATTCGCCATCAGTTGCCGAGTTCTGCATGAAGTAGTTGTAGTTCCTCGAACACCTGATAGCCAACATGTCTCCATTGTTGATTTTGAACACGTGTTCCATGGGATAGAACACTTGGGGCCAACCTGGATTGCCTAAAAAAATTCAGCATAATTGTTTAAAGTCTTGTCAATCACACTGAACGGAATCCATGCAGCAAATAGACACACTAAGCCCCGCTGCCAACCAAAACTAATTTGCCACGAAAAAAAAATAACTGCTGCTCACCTCTAGCAATGGGATCCCAGTCTAACACCCCTTGTGCATTTTGCACTCTAAATGCAGATATTGTGTCAATTGTATCATCGCCGATCATCGCAAAACCAAATGGAAAAATTGCGTTCTCATGTGAAAACGTGCACGCGACGTCAATTTCATCGGTTGACATTCCGGTTCCAATAAAAACGTATGATCCCGCTTTGAAGTGCATAGGCTCTCTAGATATGGTCAGTGCGAATCCTGACTGATCAGTGAATGACGATGGGACAAATCCTACATCGCGAGAACTGACGGAACCTTCGTAATCAACTTCGAGTACCAGGTATTTCAACAGCGACTTGGATCCGATTTCGAATCCAACTCCTGGCGGTAAGGGAACGTCAGGAGCGTTCGGGCCCCAGCTGTACACAATTTGGGGGTCGTCTTGACACAGAGTTTCCGCTTTTAGGCAGTCCCAATAGCCTGTCTTTTGATACGGTTTAGAGCACCCAATGACCATCATACGAATTACACGACTGTTGTCGTTGACGATTGGCTGTATCTTGATTATGTTCTCAATATCTCTTATGTTCAAAAAACTTTGCACAACACATACTGACGCTGCATTTTCAGCTACTTTCAAATCTGGGACTCTTAGTTCTATGTGATATTCGTCAGTTGGTTCGTTAAGAGAACCTAGTTGACCTCCAAGGTCATTGTACAAGTTTTTGTAGCTATCCGCTGAATCTTTAGGATCAGGAGGACTGAATCCTACGAAGGCGGCGAGTGTCGGGTTAGCAGGCGTGAAAATTAGTGAAAGGTATAGAATAAACATAGCGATTAGCTAAATGTACATTACAATAATAAACCTGAAAAAAAAAATAGAGAAATTAGGATGAACTAGGTTTGAAATATCATTATTTACGGGAATTTTTCTCCTGAAACGCCGGACGTATCTTCAGTAGCAGATTTAGAGGATGAAGACGCCCTGACCCTCAGGGATTCGACCCCTGACTAACCGAGCCCCCTCTGGTACAATTTTGGGACATCCATTTTTTCCCAACCGATTTGTGAGAGCTCGAACAATCGATTTAGTCGACCGAAAAAGGCATATCTTGCAACCCAGCAAATCTTGCCCCTTGTTTATTACAAAAACTTACGCAAGGCGAACTAGCGCAGATTTCAGTAATCGGTGTGACATAACTTGCCACTTTTTTACCTTGGAATTTTTGAGCACTTTTTGAAAAATTTCAAAAAAATCGACACGCCAAACTTCGAGTGTACTAGCGCCAAATAATGAAGTCCACTTTATAGCAGACATAGACTTTTGTCGAAGAAACATGATGTGCCTGGTGAAAAATTAGGTGGCTGCAAAATTGAAGTGGCTGCATGTCAAACACAAAATAAATAACGTCAGATTAGAAGAAATAAAGGACTTGAAAAAGCTAGGATATATCTCAAAAACAACGGACTAGTGGCGCTATGCTACTTTTCGAAACAGGCATTGGGTTTTGCGCCATGAATCAGTACTAGAATCAAGTACTAGAATCAGTACTAGAATCTTTTAGCCTAATTGTTGTGATAAACTTATTAAATAGATTTGTTATGTTTGATGTTTGTGCCTGTTTGTGGAGCGCCCTCTGAGGGATTATAGAGACAGGTCTGTCAAGTGGCTTTCTGTGGGGAGGTGGGAAACTGGAACTGGCTTGAAGAGTCTGGTGGTGCACCGCTGGACCTACTGAACTCGGGTGAGATTGTTCCTTGTTTTTGATTTTTATAATTCGATTTTAAAATTTAATTTAATTGTCTTTTATTTTTTTTTATTTGCTGATTTATAAAATTCCCACTAACCGCTTATCATGGGTTAGTTCAGTACTGTAAAGTCCCCTCAAACTCCTTTTTTTTACCTTTACGCTGCGTCAAAATGAGGAAAAACAACAAAGAGTGTACAAGCAAAGATTGCTTAAAACCTTCAGGACTGATAAGTTGGATTAGATGTGATTGTTGTTCTAGTTGGTATCATATCAGTTGTGTGATTATTTCTCTTAGCGACTCTAAGAAAACCCATTGGTTTCAGTGTCCTTCATGCGTTGATGTAAAATCGGTTAATAAAGCAACAATAGGTAATGATTTAGTGCCAGACAATTATGTTATTACAGCCATCTCAAATGTCCGAGTACTCAAGAGAGTACCAGTAGACTCGCGTGTTCCCTTGGCGGAAAGTCTGTCGGACAAAATAAATGACATCGTCTACAATGTAAAAGATGTTACAAAATGGCTAATTTTTTAAACGTCCTTCTTGTTTTTTTTTTGGAGCAACCGAAAAGAAGTGGACGCAAACAGACCACAAGCATGAGGTCTTTGATAAATAAAAAAAATCGAGCAATTGACGTGTCACTTCCAAAACCCCATCTTAACGTTTCAAGCCCGCTTCTGAGTGACATCGAGCAGAGAATAAAGCTAATAAGTAGTGAGCTCGATGAAGGAAATGTGAAGCAAGGAAAAAGGCTTGCTGCTTCGGATGACAAAGTTGCTCCATTTTCAACCGATAACTATCAAAAATTGTTGTCTAAGCACCCTCAGCGAGCCAAATTTGCAGCTCCAAATCCAGAAAAGTTGGATAGTTTTTTCTTAACCAATTTCGATCTATACAAAGCGATAATGTCCTTTCCGAACGGATCAGCAGCAGGTCCTGATAAAACAGTTCCTCAAATTTTTAAAGATCTTTTTAGTAAGTCGAATGGCAGTGCAGGACTTAATTTTCTGAAATTGCTTACTAAGCTGATAAACCTCATTGGAGATGGCAAAATACCCGAACCCCTAAGATCTTCCTTTTTTGGCGCAAAGCTTATCGCCCTCATAAAGATAGACGGAGGGTTGAGACAGATTGCCATAGGCAACACGCTGAGACGTATCGCGTCTAAATGCGCTGGAAGCAAGGCCCTCTTTGAGCGACAAAACTTTTTCGGAAACGTACAGGTAGGATGCGGTACCAAACCTGCGCAATCGTTTCGAAACTTAATTGAACGCGACGATAATTCAAAATGCACTGTTCTTTTAAAACTAGATTTTAAGAATGCCTTTAACTCTCTAAATAGAGAAACAATGCTGAATCATGTTTATTCAAATTGTAACATTCGCCCAAATACTACACAGTGACGAAGCGTAGAAAAAGTATCTACCAACGACTGGCAGGTGTCAGTTACCTTAATTCTACTCGTTTTTCACCGTCTCGACCTTGCCAGTTTATTTTCTGGTCTGTTTAGGGCTAAGTAAAAAGTTACTATTCTTAGGCCATCAGTCAAACGACTTTTGATCAACTTTCATTTACATGCGAATACAACCACATAGCTGAGTCTCGGATCCTCAGACTACGTGATTGCTATTAAAAACACGGCTCGAATACCCTATTTTAATATGTTTTTGGTGACAGTTCTATATTAAATCCATTGGAGATGGATTGACCCTTTCCTCTTCCCAGCTACTCATATTGTAAAATATCAATCAATACAGGTGTTAATTCAAAGTTCTATGGCATCAGAGTAGCTAAAAAGTTAGTTTACTATAGTCTTTCACCATATATCAGTCTCTGGGGGACCGAGCCTCCGCTTCCGTGTTTTCCGCGAGATAACGTCGTTATCACTCCCAATTCGTGGCACGGGAGGGTACTGCTCTCCACCACTTCCCCACTGAAGCCTCCTTTCCCACTATCTTCTTTTGCTAAGGCTCTTATCGTGCGTGATCGTCACGATCAGAGGCTTCGTTTTTCTGTGTTAACGTGCGACTGTTTTACACTATATTTGCTGCTGTTCTGACTTTTTCACCTTTCTCAGTCAAAATTGCAGTTTTTTGTATTTCTGAGAACTATTCGTTCGACAATCGAAATTTTGAAAAATTGAAACTTCCAGAATATTTCTACCCTCCTTCGCAGCAATTTTTCGTCGTTAAAGATTTTAATCGTTTTTTCGTGTTTCGCCGGAAGGTTGCGCTGTGCCAATCTGGCAGAATGGCACTTACTCCCCGGACAGTTCCCATCAATGTCCCTATTGATCGCATAACACCGGGTTATCGTCAAGTAGTGTTCTCTATAATCAACCTTACAACTCGCATTAGAAAAAGAAATTTATCTACTCCACCTCAACTCACTACGGGTCACAAATGGAATCGTACTACATCTCACTGCCTTTCAACATTTTCACAATGTTGAAAGGCAGTGTCCTAGATAAAATTTCTTTTCTGACTACTTACAACATCTTGCCATAAAAAATTTTTTCGCTCTTGCTGATTAAAAAGTTGGGACGTGGCACGGCCACGCACCCGTTAAAATTAACTTAACGTCACTCACCAAGTATAATCAGTTATTTATGCGGTCCTCTTTGTTATTAAAACTAAGAAACTCTGTGGCTAGGAAAGTTATTGAGTAACTCACCCTCTTCGAGCGAGCTTACCCAAACTTACCAGGTCGCCACACAGTGAACACGTGTCTTACACAGGTTAAAAACATCAGTCGTGTTCAAATAGGTAAATATACTCACCTATGTTCTATATATATACATAAGTAGCACAACTAAAAATTTCTTTCAACAATTTCAAAAATTGCAACAATTTTCAAAACCTGGTCTGAACAAACTTAAGCAAAACAAAAAGTTTAACAGTTTCAATAGTCAAACTTGGTTGATTAGTTTAGGTTTTAGCACACAAAGACAATCAAGTTTTTCTCCTTCTCTCCCTCTCTTGTTTACGTCTTCACTTCTCCTCTTCTTTCCATCATCCTTGTTTCATTGCTTCTCCATCCTGATCTTCAGTTTCACTGTCTTCTAGAACTTTTTCCAACATGTCCATGGAGTTGTGGGCTAGCCCCAACTCACCTGTTCCAACAGCCTCGGTTTGCAACAAGGTAGCAAGTCCACATTCACTTTTTGCTCCCGGTTCCTGCAAAAGCTGTTGTGAAGACACAGGCTCACATTCCGTTGTAGGTCAGCTCGTAAGACCTCTCTCTTTTCATTTTCAGTTACACAAGGTGCTCCAGCTACTCGCTTCACCGCCGTGGTAACAGCGTTTCGGTGCGTTAAGAATGCTCTTTTATAGGTTCCCGGTCCTATATCAAGCTGGAAAGATTGATAGGTTTCCGTGTGCCTAGATATATGACGCTTCGCGCGTTCATACGTCCATGATGTCATCACTGCACGGAACCAAGGCATCAATCTTTGCCTCGACCATATTCTTTCAATGGCTTTGGGTATTCTCAGAATCTTGCAGATGGTTCTGAAAAGATCTAAGTTGCGGTTCATCTTTACGTTGCTCAGCTGCTCAGGTGTCGGCACGGCCGTCTCCTGCTCACTTGTGCCCGTGTTGGCTTCTAACCATCTCACCGCCAGCATGGCACTCACCACCACAATCGACACTTGTTGATTTTGATTGGGCAACCCCGTGGAGTACAACTCCCCCACGTCCCACACTAATACTAGATTCCCGCGTTTGGGGTACCACAACGTCTGCGCCAGGCAGTGGCAAGGATACTCCCTATGGGTCATTAGTATGTTCCTTCGGGTCCGATACCCTGAGGCTCCCAGCAACGGTTCCACTTCCATCATTATTCTATGCACCTCGTCCTTTTCTTCTATGGTGGGGAATTCAGTGGGTAACGATCCACTCGCTTTCTGCTTCTGGAATTCACTCACATTACCTTCGTTCAATCTCATGAACTCTTCACCCACTACGTCTTGCAACTCGCCTTCAGATCTCTTCGGGACGGCCCGAATGATCTTTGCCAATAAATCATACGACCTTTCAGACATTCTGGCCAACCTCACGCACTTTGGCACAGAGAAGAGTTGGTCGACCAACACCTGCTGTGTCCTCGCATCCATCACC